ACGGGGCAAGGCTAATATACTCCGTTCTAAACTCCTTCGGCGGATACTTCGAGTTCGGGTGTCGGGGAATTCGAGAGATCGATCCTCGAGCCGTACCCCCTCCTGCCGGTCGATGCTCCGCGACGCCGCTCGTCGGCTTTACGGCCGCGCCAGCCGTCGAAGGTGGCGATAAATTGGAATAATTAATACCGAGGCAACAATTCGGCGACGGGCGTCCATCCGGAAACCGTCGTCACCCTGAAGGCGCGACTGCGAGCCGCGCCGTTTTTCTTCCATTGGAACTTAACCGTAACCCGCGGAGCGTTTTCCGCAGGCGCGTCCGAGGGCGTCGGGCTCCTCGACTCGGCGAGGTAGGGAAAATGAAGAGAGAAAAAAAAAGGAGAGGAAGAAGAAGAAGCGAAAAAAACGAGAGCCGCGAATTCGCGCGGCGAGGAGGAGCCGCGGCCGCGTCGTACGTGCCTCGCGGGTAGAGCCAAGCGCCAAGGCACTAAAGCACCGAAGCACCAAAGTGCCGTGGTCTTTAGTGCTTCCTCGTACGTGACTCCGGGGAAGTCACGTCGAGTTCGAGGCACGAACGTGAGATATCTCCCGGGCCGGGAGAGGAAGGAGAGGTACGACCCCACGGGGGAGGTTCGGCACTCCCGCGGACGAGTGGAACCCTCCCCCCGCGACCTCCCGGGTCCCGACACCGATGGAAAAAGCTACCTCCTTCCTTATTAATCGCCCCGCGAGTACCGAACGGAACCGGGGCGGAAAAGTCGACGACCCCCCGCGGCGGTTCCCGGTTTACGGCGGCAATCCCCATGAATCTCGCCGAACTCGGATCCCGGAACGGGAACGACTCCCCCGGCGCGGTCGGGGGGCTCGAAAGAACGAGAAGAGGGCGTCTAGCCGACGACGACGACGCGTTAACTCGATTCGCCCGATTAACGGAAGACGCGAATCTCCGGAGACGGGGACCGGCGCCCCGGCGGTCGTTGCTCGAGGAGCCCGGGACGGCTCGTTTGCGAGGAAAGCCGGAATATATCTCCGGAAAGAGCCTGAAAGGCTCCTCGGGCTGGCCCGAGGGAAAGAAATACCTGGACGGGCCCGCAAATGGGTCCGGCCAATAGAAAGCGACGACGAGGAAACCGGACTCGCGGGAATCTCGCGCGGACCCCGCCGGCCGGCGCACTTAAGGAGTTCTTGACCCTGCGGCTACCGGTTGCGACATACCCTCGTCTCTCTTTTCTTTTCCTTTCTTTTCTTTTTTTTCCTCCCCCTTTTATGTCCCGATACAAGGATACGGACGTTGAGAAGAAGCCGCGGAACCGGAGCACCTCGCGGTCCACGTGCCGTCGAGAGTCGTTCCCCCGGGCGGAAGGAAGATCGTCGCCGTCGGCCGGAGATCCGCGGTCCTCCCTCCGGAGCCCAATTAACGCCTCCGACCTCGAGAGGAAACCTCGGCGAGGAGGTCGACCCTCGAGGTCGAGGCGTCGCGGCGCCCCGCGACCTCTGGAGTGGGAAAGAATCTTGGTCCCGATTGAAAGGGAGCATTAATTAACGGGCCGACGATTAATTAACCCCGGGGACGTTTTTAACGACGCGGCTCGCGACCGGCAAGCGCCCCGGAGCGCCCGCGTCGCCCTTATAATCGTTATTATAATTATATTTATAATTATAAGGAATATAAATAAACAGCCCGCGCCAACGTTGATACCGCCGGTGATAACGATAACGGTGCTAATAATAATATCGCGGAAACCGCCGCCGCGGAAGGGGCGCAATTAAAACCGCCACCCTCGGGCGACACTTTGGCGCGTTTTCCTCGGACCGTCTCGCCGGGGCGAATATTCCGGCGACGGGTCAAATTGTAAAAATTCGTAATTATGGGGCTTATTAAAGGCTCAGGGGGCAGAGAAGAGGCACGAGCGATACGGGAAAGGGAAAAAGGAAATGCCGGAAATTAACGAGCGCGCGTCTCGAGGGTGTCGGCGTCGCCGCTTCCGTTCCCCTGCCGGATCCGGGAAGGGCACCTGCCCGGATGTGCCGGATGGCCGGACCGGCCCGGCCGGGCACGGATTTCCGAAACACCGGTTCCCCTCGGGACCGGATCGTCTTTTCGCGGTCGGTGGACAGAAGACACCGCGGAGATGAAACCGCGGGGACAAGAAAAGTACGGGAAAGAAGCGAGGTAACGCGAGCAAGAGGGACGCCCGAGAAAGCCGAGGTGTCGGCGACCGGTCGGAATAGAAAATGACGCGAGGCGGCCGGATCCGGAGCTGGCACCGAAAGCGAGCGGCCGAAAGTAAAATCGGCCTTAGAGGAAGAGAGGGAGTTTCTTTCGCGGCGGAATTATTCGGTCGAGCCGTTGTTTTCGGCGGGCCGGAGCGAAAGTCGAGCGAGGCGGCCGGATTCGGAGGTCGCGGTAAAAAAATCGACGCCACCCGAAAATCGGACTCGAAGGGTGGCGGACTCTTGTCTCGAGGAGCCTTCGGGAGTGCGCGCGGATCGTCGGTAATCACGTAGTGAAAGCACAATTAATATCGCCACGGGAGACATAAAGGCCCGGGAGAAAGAGAATTCGACGCCCGGTGCACCGCTGACCTTTCGAAAGTCTTGTGCAAGCAAAACTAAGAGCCGTCGCGTGCAATGCCGAGCAACTCGACGCGACTCCGACGCAACGCGGGTCCGATGGAAAAATTATACGCGCCGGCGTCGATATCGAGGCGGACGGAAACCGCGCGGCGGATCGCGCCCGGGGAATTCGCCAAGCATCTCGAGAGCCGTAACTCGAGGAGGTTCGTCGGCCCCGAGGAGCTCGAGGCAGGTCAGGGAGAGGAGAGCGGTCGATATTCGGGAGATCCTTAAGCCTTAGCGAGACGCGGAATCGCCATTGCCCGCGACCTGAGCAGGAGAGAACTCGGAATCCCGCGTTTCTAGAGAGCCCCGGATCCCCGACCGACGTGGCCGACATCGCGGTCCAAACCGGGGTATACGGTTACGACGAGTAGCTACGGATTCATCGGATCCGATCCGATTACGGCGGCTCGCCTATCCCCGGCCGGGCGATCGCACCTGCGGAAAGAGAGGTCCCGCGATTGCGTTTAATCCGCCCCGCCGGCGAGGTAATCGACGCGGGTTGCGTCAAAACGCGGGGAGAATCCAGCGGAACCGCTCCTTTCGTCCTCGGAACCTCCGCGGATTGGAAACTCCGCCAAGGATCCGAAGAATCCGGTACAAGGTGCAGCGGAAACGTGGAAACCTTCGCGTCCGCCACCGAAACACGTACGTCGCGGTCGAGAGAAATCGGAAACCCGGAGGTCGGCGGAAAAGCCGCGATAAATTCCCACCGTAAATCCGAATTAAAGCCCGGGGAAAAGCTCGAGGCTTTCCCGCGCGCGGTATCGGCCCGCCGAGAGAAAAATGCCCGGGCATCCGTCTCGCGGAAAAGCCCCGGAAACGGGGAAAAGGGGGGAAAGGGAACCCGAAGGAAGAATCCGCCGGGGATATCTCCCGAGACGCGCCTCCGATTTACGGGCCGGTCTCTCCGGCCTCCGTCGAAAGGCCAACTAATTAACGCATCGTTTCGCCGGCTGCGGTCCGCGGGAAATCTGCATCCGCTGAATATGCAACGCGGCGCCGTCCCGGTCTTCGGTCCCCCTATGAATATATCTATCACCGGGGCCAGGGGCGAGAAGAAAGAGAAGAGAAGGATCAGTGGAGCGGACTCGGCCGCTCGCTCGTCGTCCGAGGCGAGTTTTAACACCGGCCTAACGCGATTCGCGGCTACGGGCGAAGCGAGTCGTTAGCGCGAGCCCGCCACTCGGTTCGCGCCTTGGACCACGCACCGTTAAACGAAATCTTACCATTTTATATTTCTCCCGGAAGTGTTCTTCGGGCCCGATATACTAATTTTACGTACATACAAGAAACCCGAGGGAAGGGGGCATCCGCGTTTTTCCGCAATATATCGCGAAAAGATGGGAGATATAAAAAGTACAACGAACCGCGGGAGATCGCGAGGGATCGGAAAACTTTCCGTCGAGACGGTCGTTTCCTCGTCGACGGACCGCGAGGTGCGTCGAACACTCGAAAAAGTTCGGCGAATCGGGGAAAGACGCGTCGCGACGCCTTCTTCGGGAGGAGGTTTTTTTTTCAGCGGGGCGTCGACCCCCGAGACGGAGAGCACCGTCGGCGTTCCGCGCGTGGAAGGCGAGACAATTAATGGCGGAGTCCCTTTTTCGTGGCCGCGAGGGAAATCTAGCAGCGAGAGAGCGTCGCTCGGAATTGGAGTCACGGCCCGACGTCCGGCGGCGTCTCCGCGGCGTCGTCGGGGCGTCGTTAGGGCGGCCGGCACGGTCCGAGGCCACGAAATCCTCGGGACGGAGCCTTTAATCTCGGATTACGCGAACGACGCGGACGGCGTCCCGACGGAGGTCGTCGAGTCGGGAGGAGACCGACCTCCGTTCCTAATTGAAACGAATCGGAACGAGTCGAAACGGTCCTTCCAGGTTCTCCGACCCTCGGACCGGCGCCGGTCCCTCCCGTCGAATTACAAGGAGCGAGCGGGGAGGACGCGTCCCCGCGGAGGGCGACGGCGGCGGAACGGCCGCGGACGACGGTTCCACCGAGCCGGAAGGTATTCTTCTTACTTAACCGTTATGCAACTATAGATTCTAATTAAGAGGCTTTCTCTCTTTCCGGGAGCGGCGAGGACGCGGCGGCTGCCCGCATCGCCTCCGCTCGCGGCCTATCCGGGCGCCGGCGTTTTCCCCGATTTTTCCGCCGCGATCCCGCCGACCGTTCGATCGAGCTCCGAACCGGGGACAGAAATTCTGGAATTCCTGCGGGTTAACGGTGGCAGGCGTCGCCGTTCGTTCGCCTCGAAATTCAATTAGCGGCGGTCGCGGAAATCGGTCCCAAGTTCTCGCCGCGCGGTCGGACGCGGAAAACGCGGCAAGATCGGTTCCCCTCGAGCGGGAGAACCGAGAGAGAGAGAGAACGATCGTGGAACTCACCGTGGAGCTGCGCCAGGGACTGTAGCGAGTTGGCGTTGCAGTTTATGAACCCTGCAACACAAATGCACAAATCGTTTACCTACACGTCGGGAAGTGATTTCCGGTTGATAACTAATCTATACGAAACGCTGGTCTGCCCGACCGATGCCCCGTGCCGTAAAGCCGACGCACGAGTCGCCGTCCGGACGGACCGAACGCGCGACCTGAGAGGTCGTAGAGTTAACAGGAGGGGTCGAAAGGCGGATTCCGCAAGAATCCGCCAATTTTCCGCATATTTCCGCGTCGCAGGTGCCCCGAACCGATTAAATCCCCGGCCCCTTCTCCGGATGCCTCGCCGGGCTCGCCGACGTTCCCATGACCCGGCCGACCCCCGACCTCGGCAATCGCGATCCGCGCCTCTTCGCGCCGCGTGTGGGTAAACATTGACATTTAGACCCGTCGAGCGAGTCGAGTCGCCTCGATTCTTTCCTTCGATACGTTCCCCGTCTCGCCGATCGATCGTCGGGAATTTCCTCGCGGTCGCGAGTCGAGGATCGATCTTCGGAAAATTCGACGCCGAGCGCGATCGACGAGGAAGTCACCGATAATCGAAGTTTCCGGGTCCGGGAAGGCCGCTCCGATGTCTCGGAAGCGATTGCGCGATCCCGGCGCCGAGACGAGTTCCTTAAAGGGCACTCCCGGACTTTCGCGGTTTCCCTCGACGCGCACCTGCGACGAGGCCTCCGTCGAGAGAAGTCGTTAAACCGAGATATATCGCGTAACGACGCTTACGTCGACGATTAACGAACGCCTAGCGCCGGATCGCCGGGAACGGTATAATCCGTGGAAACGCGGATGTCGCGAGAAAGTCCCCGAAGTGGAGGCTGGGGAAAAAAGTGAAACGTCAACTGGAGATCGCTCCCGCCGAGCGTGACCCCCCCGATTCCGGCTGCGATATCTCGACCGCGGTCCGATCGATCCAAAAACCGATCCCGCGATCCATCGATCCCGGCGTCCCGCAAGAACCGAGGGCTCGGCGAGGAAAATCATTTTTCCGGATCTCGCTCCTTTCGCGGAGAATAAGATCGACGGAAGAAGCGGTCGAGGACCGTTCGGATCTCCCCGGATTCCCCGTTCCGATTCGTTGCTACCGGGTTTTCTCCCGAGGCGGTTTCTATGGCGGAAAGACCGTGGCGAAGACGCCGTAGAGCGAAGCGTGACGGGATCCGGGACGTCCGGCGATCGGATCGGATGGGCGCCGGACGATGACCGAATCCCGAGTTCCTAGGGCCTAGGATCGACGGATTCGATCGGAGTCGCGGAACGGGCGCGGAATCGCGACCCCTCCGCGACCCAATTTTCCGCGGGGCGGGGGAGACGGGGGAAGGAAAGCCGCCGCGAATCGATGCCACTCCTCGGGAGTACGCGACCCAATTTCCGCGGGGATGCTCGCGAATCCGCCGACTTGGCCATTCCCGCGGCCGCATTCCGCGCGAGTTATCGACAAATATTGGGAGCTCGATAACGCTGCGCGCGCGGTTTCGCCGCTCCCGCTCGTTCCGGGAGACTCCGAGGACTCTTCTCGACGGGGGGCCAGGATTCGCCTGGGATTCGGCCGCACCCACTCGGAGAGGAGTTCCGCGTGCGGCCGCGTCCACGCAACGCGCCGCTAAATGGGTTAATGCGCGCATCCGCGGTGCAGCTAGCCGCATCGCCGCCGCGACGTCTCCGAGGACCGGCGTCCGCCGGGGCGGCCGCGATCGGCGGAGTTTCGGCAATCCGAGCGGCTAATAGTCCACCGGTCCCTCCACCTCCCGGCAGGAGTTATCTAACGCTTTCACCCGCCCCGCCATTGCCGATCGATTTGGCGCTAAATCCGCGCGGCCGACACGGAGTGGCACCGGTCTTCCACTTTCATCCTGGCGGTCGGCGTTTTTGCCCGATTTCCCGCCGCTACGGATCGTCCGCCGACTCGCGAATCGACGCCGAATCACCTGCGAAGCCTCGCGGGCGTTAATTGGTCCCGCGGCGTCGAGGCGTCGGCGACGCCCAATTCGACGCTACGACGCAAGTTGCAAGGCTTCGCGATGAGAGGCCTTCGGATGCCGACCTCGTCGGGCGTTTTTCGACCTCCTGGGTGCGGGAAAAAAATCCCAGACGAACTCGAGAAACGCAAACGCCGCGGGAAAAAATGACGGTAGGCGTAGACCCACGCAAAGACGATCGTAGAAAATTCCTTAGTAGACCTACGTGCCCCTCATGGATAATTCCAACGACCCCCCGAATAAAACCGCGTCCACTTCCGAACGTCCGCTTGTCGCGTCACGGCCTCTTTGCCGCGACGATGCTATTTTCCGGAGCGTTATTTCCGGCCGGAGGAGTCCCCTCGCGGTCCGATCGAAGCGGACGCGTTTTCACGGCGAAGTAGACCACGTCCGCGTAGGTACGGCGAGATCGGTCTCGATCGTCGATCCCGAGGGCGAGGTCAATTGGCACCGATCCAGGGAGGATCCCTCGGAGATAAAATCGGCGACCGGTCGGATTCCCTCCGGGGTGTCTTTTTCTTCGGACTCGTTCACGGTGAGGCGACGTCGGCGGCTCAGTTTTCGTCCAAAGCCCCGATGACTCACGGGCGGGGTTCGATTTAAGAAGGATCGCTGCCGAAGATGGCACGTGGCCTGGCCCGCTCTCGTATTAATAGCTCGGGTCCGGTGCACCGGTCGAGCGGCGCGTCCACGGGAAAGGTCGCTCAAATGGGTTAAGACCCCCGGCAAGACGGAGCCAATTATCGGCCCGAAATAAGCGCGACAGCGAAAAACACTTCGGACGAAAGTCCTCGATGGTTTCGCGAAAGGCGTCGGGGGATCGAGGCAAAGATCGGCGGGAGATGTCCCCTCCCTTATCGGAAGTCGCTTACGACGAGGGAAAAATCCGGGCGATAAAAAAGGATAAGGAGGAAAAGAAAGAAAATATTAGGAAGCGTCCAGGGTAACCGTAAAGCCCGTCGCCCCGCGGAGGCAAGTGCCCGGAGAACGGCAGCGGGATTGCAAATCATCCCAGCAGCCGGCCAGGCTCCTCGGCTAGCATCTGTCGTTACTCGTTACTCGTTACTCGTTACTCCCCGCTGCACTTACGAGGCGCCCGGTCGATGCACCTCGGCCCGGTTCTTCCTCTCCGAGGAGGGTAAACCCGGCGCCTCGATTGCGCGATATTACACCTTGGGTCGACGCCCAATTTCTACGCCGGGGCCCCGAGGTCCCGGGGACGAGTCCGGGCCGTCCGGTCGCGTTCCCACGCCGAGAGGTGAAGCGAGACGAGGAGGAGGTCGCCTCTCCTCTCCGGGAGGACGACGATCCCGCTACTCGCGGCGACTTCGGAGTCGAGATCGGGGCAACCGATAGTCGGCTATCACCGACGAATCGCGACGCGTCGCGATAACGCGACGGCGTCGAGAGTTACCACCGAACGGCGGGCGTCGACGAGGAGCAAAATCGAGAAGGACCCCGATTTCGCGCGAGTCGTCCGAAAGCGACCCCGTTCGACTCTAGAGGAAGCGAGAGATCTTCGGAGGCCGTCGATCGAGATCCTCGTTAGCGGCGGAGAGAAAAAAAAAAAATGTGGGTTCGACCTGGACGTCGTTCCGAATCGAGCTCGTCCCTAGGAAACCGGCGAGGGGTCGGGGTCGTTCTCCCCGCATCGAGGAGTCGACGTCCGCCGGGCGGAAAAACGGTCCGGGGCCCCGGATCAGCGTTTTTCGCCGGTCGGTTCTCGCGGAGAAAGCGTTATGGGCGATCTCTCTCTCCGGTCGAAATCGGCCGGGCGCTCTCGAGGACTCGGGAGCCCGATGAGGAAACGACCGGGAAAAGAACGGCGACGTCGTCACGGCTGCGCGACCGCCGACGTTTTCTCTAGGGAGAAAAAGACGCCACGGTGGCTGGCTCCCCGATCTTCCGATCGTTCCCAGTGCGACCGTTCCGCCCCGGAACCGGCCTCCGCCTCCGGGAGGACGACCTATCGATCGAGCTTCGGAACGTCCTCGATCGCCTCCGCGAATCTCATACCGATTTCGACGGCACGCAATTTTTCGATCCACCGTCGACTCGAGGCTCGACGCTGCCCGGGATATCCCAGGAAAGTGCGCAGCGATCGGCGTCTCGCCATCGTTCGAGTTCTATTCCCGTCTTTACCGGCGTCGGCGCGCGTCATCGCGCGTTACGTGGACGCGCAGGCAGGCAGAGGAGACGGATGCACTCGGCACTGCACTCGGCCCTGCACCGGGCTCTGCACCCGGAGCCACGCTCCGCGATCCGAGGCAAGCTCGTTTATTCTCGGACGACGCGTTCCACGCATCCGGCGACGCGTTTCTTCCGCAACGCCCGGAAGCGTCGAGTCCGTTCGACCTCGCCATCCCCTGGATCGACGATTCCGTAATCGCCTCCCCGTTGGCCGAAAAAATGGGGAGAGGATTTAAACGGCCCCGGTTTAAAACCCGCAGGGGCGGCCAGCAGCGTCGTTTTCGAGGAGCGTCATGGCGGCCGGAGTGGCCGGAAAGGGACACGTGTGCAGTCGATCAGCTGACCCGCACACGTGGCCCCCCTCCTCGGGCCTCTCGTCCCCCTATCCCCAACCCACGCCGGGGGGGCGAAAAGAGACGCGCCGGAAAGAGGGAGAAGGACTCTTTCGAGGAACGGAGGACCCCGAATTTCGTCCGGATCTCGCGGGGGTTCGCCCCTTTTTCTGCCGCGGGGAGGGGGATCGAGAAGGTGTCAGCGCGCGTGCGCGCGACCGGCGAGGGGGGGCGGCTCCCTCCTCGCAAAGGGTGGCCGGGAACGAGCGATCGATAGTTGAATGCCCTCCAGTTGACATGCGTGGCCCCCTACCTGCCGGCTACACCTCGACCGCGATAACTCTCTCTCTCTCTCTCTTCCCCTCCCTCTGGCCCTCTCGCTCCCTCCCGCGGCGGACCGCGATACGAAAATAACTCGATAACCGCTCTATTGACGTAACCATTGACTGCCCCGGAGTAAAAGACTGCGCATACTACCACGGGGAATTTCCATTGAGACGAATCC